TCGATAAGGTATCAAAATTTACTGTAATGATTATGCTTGTAAACTTTGTGTTAGACCCCATAGCTTTTTTGTGATGATTTCAGTGGAAATATAGGTCTTACGTTAACGTTACGACATATTTCAACGGTTGAATGACGTACATAACTTAAAGGATTTCCCAGGGGAAGGAAAATCGTGTCATTTGTCATAATTGCAGTATGACTTTTACGGGTATAAGTCGAGTCGGCCCCAGTTAGGAACCTGAGAAACACCCAAATCCACATCAATGTACGCGCGGGTCCAATAGCAAAAGCACGCGCTGCGAAGTGAAAGTGAATAACGCGCACGTACGGTCGGCCCGCAGCCCCAATAAGACGACACCGCCGTCCGCATACTTCAGCAATTACCACGAGGAAATCAGCACCGTTCCGCCAAGTAGCTCCCAGAAACCTAACTAAAGAAGCCGAATAAGCCATGTAAACAAATATTAATAACATCTTCCCACTATACTACCGTACTCGAGTCAACTTTACTCCTGTATGGCTAAAGTATAATGATAGCAATATACCTATTGCACAACGTACAGTAAATACTGAATCATTTCCTTTTTTTAACTTTTTAGCAAAATTTAAACAAACAAATAAATTGTTAGATGTTATCTAGTCTGTACTTAAGCTCATTACAAGATTTTGTTTTGTACACAAGGTACGTTTGTGACTACGAGTCTGCGCTCGTTAAGACTAGTTGACCTAAACAATATTCCATTTTATCTTTACGGGATATCAAATGAATGTACTTCCAACCCTGACCCCGAGGTTGAATCGAGCACATGCAACCAACCGGCCTTAAAAGCCATTGATTCTAAGGCTCTTCTACATTTATTTGGTTCCGGTTCGCAATAGATCGTGGATTTGGGTTACGTAACGATTAGAGACGTTGTTAAAACATTGACCACTGTCTAGTCTATTCGATGGCAACTTTGTATTGAAGTATTGCGTGTGAATGTCTCAAAGAAAATGGAAAGCAGCACAAGATTAAATTTACGCGTGTAATTTCCGATAGTCAAACAATTTTGAGTAAAAACAATAAAACGATGAATGGGTGGACAGGCAAATGACGTCAATATCAATACATAAGTAAAATTTAAACTCAGTAAACAGCGCTTTATGTGTAAACGAAATAAAGTATTGGCTTAAACGCAAAATGTGTTGCCTAACTTCATAACAATCATACAAATAGATGGTGATTGAGTAACTTAATTGAAATATAAAGTAATTGGCAAAAATTTCAGTGAATACCACAACAAATTGAATATCTTAGTTCTTGTAATGATATTTTCACCGTTCTTTGATAAATGAAGTAATATCAGTGATGGTAAAATTGCATGTTTTGCAAGTTACAATTATAATGACTTTTGATTTAGCAAATTTTTATCGGACAAGGCCTTTATACATAGAGTGGGCCAAGTTTAATGCGAGACATAAGACGTAAAAACAATAGGCCCGTGTTCGACATCTTTATGAACTGGACTTAGGTACAACAGGTCGTCCTTGTAGTGAGTGTAAACACTATTGTTTGATCACGTGGCTGCACCCATTATGATCTGATAAAGGGGTTCACGCTAACACACCTTTGTTCTATACCTACATTAGCAGCCAATAACAATGTCTGTCAAAGAAATGTCTATTTCATTGAATTTGCAGCCTCCAATGGGATATGTATATATATGTATTTAAATTATACAGAAAAATTCAATAGTTATTAAAAATAATATCACATTTTTATTAAATCGATAAAGTAACGCCAAGAATATGTAAATAAATCAAGTCAGTGTCACGTTTCAAGTCAAACAAGGTTCTAGGGAAGGTTATGAACAAAATCTATAATGAGCAATACGGAGAAATCGCCAATCGGTAGCTAACCTTCAGCAATCAGTCAGGCATTACAAGATGAGTAAAATGTGGCTGGGAAGCAAAACTGAGATGAAGGTTAAAAGGCAGAGGCAGTAAATAGAGCCTAGAATATAGCTGCTACTTAGTCGTTGCCATGTTCCTGGTTAAGCATAAATTGACAAACTACACAAATATAAATACCATACAACTACAACTAGAGGTAAGTGGCCTCAGTCTGGTTCGACTGATAAATACATACAACTGTTGGACAACGGTATATTTTTTCAATCCCTAACAAGTTCAATTTAAAGATTATTGTGTACATTTCGAAAGGCATTATATACACTGAGTGAAAATTATCTTTAGATCAAAACATATATTTTCGTTTAATACAAAATCGAATCCTGTTTTCAAGGACTGCGATAATGTTCCGTAAACCGTTGGTGAAGGTAGTAAAGTGTTGGGAGGACAACGACCTGACCGACTCAAGACGTATTCCAACTTACACTGTGAGGAACATTCAATTTTACAATGCAGAACATTGGGTTCAATGTACATAGGAGGATGATTCATTAGATGCAGAGATAACATCGATACTAGAGACGGCGGTATATTGTGTTCAGAAAATTAATGCGCATCCCATCAGAATGGCTGACTATTGCATTTTGTTTATGCATTAATTTGGTACGATGAAAGACTTTTCTACGTGTTTGTCGTGAGCTCAGAAAAAAAGGAGGTCCTGACGTGTGGTGAAACATTATCGCAAAAGGGGACAACGGCCGTCGCACCTGTGAGGTGCAATCCACATGTGCCCACTAGCGACTGGAACTGTTGCTATTTTTACACACTCCACTCTATCTTATTTACTATTCTGGTCTGCGACTCATTGAATTGTGGTTATTATGTGCAAGTTGGATATGTGCCAGCGAGTCTCGAACCTAACACATAGATACAGAGATATTCGAGGAATGATGGCGAAGCGTTTTCAGAGAACAGTGCTTATCCCGATAATTTTCTTGGGATTGTAAAAAATAACACAAAGCCAAGGTTGACCCGCTATTGGGTTCAACAGTGTTACAATTTGCATAATGTTGTTTTTGTTTTACATAAAATGTCTATGATATTTGTAATGTAGAACACGTCTAATTGTTTATTTGGTATCGTTTAATTTAGTCAATCCAGGAATATATCGAACTGTAATGTTTTAGGTAGATTTTGAATAAAATTGTCGGGGTCGTTTACATACAAGTAAGTGACTCTCGACGAGCAACAAGAGAAGAGATCACGTCAAACCGGCAGGCGCGTCGAGTAGTGGCAACAAGTAAACCGGTCGAAGGCGCCGGGCGTCGGGCGCGGGGATCGACCGAGGATTAACACCTTGTAAACAAAATTGCATTAGCCACGTTTTTTGCAGTGAGCGAGTGGCAACTGAAAAGTTAGATGTAATACGTACTTATTCCATCTTACCGAGCCAAATATGTTTATAAACGCTCGATACTTCTATTTTACACAACTTTTCACATTTTTATCCCCGTTTCTTGGTATTTGGTTTATGTGACGTAATTTGTAGAGTTCCACTCGGAAAGTTTAAAAGTAAACAAAAAGCTACTGTTGAGAGAGGAAAATTCTTGAATGTATAACAATAATGTCAACCATGAATGTGTGAATACAACTATACTGGCTGTTCCTTTACTAGAAGTACAGAACGTCATGATCGGTTAGACTAAACGACGAGGTCGCTTTGTTTACGTGACGGCGTATGATCCGTGTACAATTTGTTTTTCGAAATAATTTAGGGTAAAAAGTTTAATAGACCACCGACCGCAGCGTCAAGCAACAAATCGAAATCGGCTAAGTGGGTCATCATATAATTTCGCAAGCGTATCGAGTGCCGCAAGCGTTAACTGGTACGCCTGAGGCGAGTCAAGGCCCGTGCGACGATGAGGCCCAGCTCCTGACGATGCTGTACTCCAATACTATATGCAATTATGCATCTTCAAAGTCCTTATTCGCCATCGACAAGAGTTAAAATCTAATACAGCTCCATATTTAAACTAGAGCAAACGTGTGCTTTTATAGCTTAAACTTGCATAATAGTTTTGGTGTTGCACTTGTGTTTAGTAGAATCTAAACAGTTTTCGAAATACGTCAATTGTATGTTTACTCATGACAACTATAACTTGATGTACGCACGTTGTTATTAATAAAATATTTCTTAATGTTCACTCGGAACGTCATTACTGATAAGGTCATCGAATTATGTAAAATGTACAGAGAAGTACGTGCAAAGCAGACAATTGTTATATCACAAAATTATTAGGAAAGCTAAAGATTCCAATGGACTGAAGACATAGTGCAATAAGTAGTAAATATTGTTAATTATTGCATCAATACGACGTGACTAAAGTCAAGTACCGTTCTTTGCAAAAACAAAAATGTTATGGGTATTGTATTTATTCTGAAGAAGGTAATTTGAAACCTTATACTGAACTTGACTTTCTAAAAGCGATTTCATAAAGAGGACACAATATTTAAGGAACAAAGAAACAAATTGGGCGTCTTTGCAAAATAAATGTAAAACTTGTTAATGTCAATGTTTCGACTGCGGTTTACATAAGAATGATATCTCCAATGTTTGAACAATTGATATCAAATAAGGATACTAGGGTATGCTAATTCACGTGTAGGTACAGTTTTATTTATGGCTTCTAAACTGCCGTTAAATACATTAGCTAATGAAACGAACTCATGGTACGGTGTGTATCTACGTTATTTTTACATTTACCGGTTCTCCACATGATTTATTATTATAGAAAGCCTACAGTTTTAAAAGTCCATCAAATTTCGATAAATATGCATGTTTACATAATTTAGTGCATAGCGTATTTTACTAATGATAAGGGACATTAGTAAACGGTTTTTTTGGGGCAAGTAATTAAGGCAACATATCAATACATTGCAGTTAAATAAAATGGTCCGAGGACAGTGCCCTGTGGTACCACATTAATTTTAAAATGTTCTACGTGGAATGGTAAAGCTAATATTGAGTAATTTTTCAAGTATCTTACAAATATTTTTGTTTACTTTAATTTTATCAGCATAAAGTAAGAAAATAAACCTTCAACTCACCCCTTCATTTCCGGGTAGGAACTGTATTTTAGGTTTTGCCAATCTGTCCTGAAAAAAAAGGAAACAATGGTTAGTTCATTATACATACTTTTACAATTTATTAGGTCACCTAAACGACATGTGCAAAGACATATTAATCAACATTTTATTAGTGAGGTATAATAATATAAAACGATTTTGTATTTTCATTAACTTAATAGGACTTGTTATTTACCAAATACTCCCACAAGTCTGCGTAATTCTGTTGAGAGTAACTTTGTTAGATAATGGTAAATAATTGAAGTTTCCATTTTAATGCACATAAGTAAAACCTGAACGCAAGTCTTAGACAATGCTTAAATGCCATACAATGCTACAAGTGTGAGAGTTGCAAATAAAATACTTAAGTTAATTCCTGACTCTACAAGTTTTGAAATAGAGACAGATTATGGTAGCTATTTGAATTGTTTGTATACTGTAAAATATTAGACATATGTTTAATGCATTGACGTGCGAAATATTTTAAAACCTAATTTACGTAGACAGGAAAATACTATACGACTAGTGACGCATATTATTGTTGAGAGTAGGTACATACAAGGTAAAACTGTATTACAGTAATATTGGAAATATCAGCAGTGTCTATGTTCTTCATGCATTTAAGACCGACGAACTATGAATCACAATGACTTTGTGTTTGTGTACTCATATTGTGTCCCACCTATTATTTGCCTTTTGGAACAAAAAAATAACCGCGAAAAACTATGGTCATAACCGGCAAGTCATTCTAAGTTCTTACCTAATTACATAAATATCTAAAAGACACATCTCATCTTCCTATCTTTTTATCTGATAGATAAGCTCTTAATCCTTTGGTTGGTTTTTTTTTCGGATGTTAAGAACAGATAGGAGAATGAAAAGTGATAATATTATTTTGTTGCTAACGATTAAATAGCAGAAGCTAAATTATGTTCTGATGTCGACCATAAAGTACCTACTTAAAGTGGTAACAAAATTGCATTCGTAGATGGATACTTGAGAGATCAATATTTCTACATTATGAAGCATAACCTAATGAAACGATGTAATTAGACGACAAGAAGCCAAACTAGTTAGGCAACGAGTCGGGTTGGCCACAATAAGCAAGTGTCGGCAAGTCGAGTCGTGGCGTTGCACAACCGGCGATGGTCGAACGCGAGAAACATAACTAGGCTGGGCGGCAGTGCTGATGATGTAAACTTAAAAATTGCTTTACTTACTTACTTAACCACTAAACTCAATGTGAAATTCAACTACTTAGTTGCAATGCACTGCCGCGATTCCGTCTAGACTCGGGAAGGGATGACCCGGAACTTGCCGTGGTTTGCATCCATGGCCGTGACTCTCGATCTCTCGAGGGTCAACCAATTACTATGTCAATATCAGAACAATTTTTGCTTTTATATATTTTATACGGTCATAAACAGTTTTTATTTGAAAAATTTTAACAAGTGAATGCTACCAATGTGCGATAAGAGAATCGTCTACTTTGATTAAGATTGAAATCAGTCGCGAATGTCAAACCAGTTTTACCAGCAAGGTCATACGTTTGTATTAATTTTCCTATTCAAACTTAAAACATGCTAATACGACTTAAAAGTGGTAATAATCAAATAGTACATTTATTCGTATTCATTGAAAAAGAAGTTGTTCAGGCAATAGTAAAATAATATTTTTATTCCATTTATGGTACGAGTACTTTGGAAATCATTTACCTAAAGATAATCACAATCATTAGATTACACATTTAAATCTGAGTGATTAGTTGGGAAATAACTACTAGTGATAAGCAAATGACAATATTTATCAATATAGTACCGCGCATAAACACTAACCTTTGGCGTTACGTTTTGTAAAATAGACCGAATAGACAATTTGTAGTTGATAAAGAGATAAGTACACCTAAACTACATGTTGTAAATAAGTATAATTTTGTTGGATAAAAAATACAAAAGCAATTTTGGCTTTGCGTTGAATTGCTACGTTGTACAGAGTGAGGCAATAAAATACCTGCACAAAGTGACCTTAGCGGAATATGCTGGTGACCTTTAGCTGAGTAAAAAACTTTTACAAGCTTTACATTTTTAGATTAGTGAAAACAATCATACGCTATCATACATTATTTAGTTTTATTTCATAGTTGCATTTTAAAAAGTTGTCTTAGATCTTAAAAAAAAATTGAAAAATGTCAAATTAAATGCGGCCATTGCGAAAACTGATTTACTAGTAATGTAGTAACTAGTTTTCAAATATACACACAGAGGTCAACCCAGTGTAGAAAAGATAAGAATGCGTCAAGAAAGAAGTAAAGCGGGGCGGTGCGAACCGTTGTACGAAATGTTCTGATCAAGACTCCGCTTAGCGACACACATTATTTGAATAACAACACATTTCCTATACTTATTAGAGGCCATTTTGGGGATTTACTTCTTTTGGTTCATAACTCTAAACACCTTCGTTTTTTATTAAAGTACTGAGTGTTGTTAGAAACAATACAACGAGAAAGAAGTGCAATAAAATCGTTAAGTTCCGTGAAAGGATCTTTCATAAGTATCTGGGCACCTCCGTCTACCTGAGCCTCGGAATCCGACAGCTATAAAATGAAAGTTGTTATGTCTAGTTTTGTATTACGTCGTCTCATACTACAATATTCATACATAAAACATTTTCCTGAAATTTTATTAATGAATATGAATAATCGTAAGACCCATTAGTATACTTCTATGTCTGATTTTCAATAATTGCGTTTTTACGTAACTTCATAAAATTTTATAGTTGGTTTCATATTTCTATCACAATAAGGAATATGTTTTAAGAAGATTAAAAAGTTGAGTGACGTTTGAATGGTTAGATATTTGACCATCCTTTGTAGAGAAGTTACTAAAGAAACAATTGGACAGTTCATTTTTGTATCTAACGTTAAAATCTACTAATCCGGTCGCTTTGTAAGAGACCAAGGCTTTCTTTTATAAGTTTTTATTACCAGACCTTGTAATTACTGTTTTCTTCTCTTGGTGTTTGAATGTCTTTTTAAAACTGATTTACCTGTTTGTAGTTACAATGTTCATGTTTTTTGGAAAACCTCGCTGTAAGGTTTATGAACATAATTTTCGGTTAAAAATTAACATATATCTGTGCACTGAGTCTGAGAGTTACATAATTTCGTTCCACAGGTGGTCCAATACGTTAGCACTTGTAGGGTCCCTATGGAAATGAACTTGCCCAAGTTTGCTTACATTTTAATTAGTACATGTTAATTTAAATTGGAAATAGGTACTGCGGTTAGTTCTGGTGATCGAGAGTTATATAAAATGTCTTAATTATTACCAAATTTCTCTTCGCATATTACAAGTGCAAATTTATTGGTACCAGTGTAAATAAAACATACATTTCAGCACGAAATAGGTAAATATGAGATGCGTACTTGAGCTAAAGTTACGCTTTCATTATAAGTACATGAATTTGAATCATTTTTTAAACTTCGTAGGACATGTTGGGACCTGATATACGTATTCAGTAGTTTTTTAAGGGAAACAGTGAATGTTACAATAAGCTATATTGTGTAGGCAGTCCAGAGGAAGGGCTTGTTCAATGTCATGACTATTATGATAATAATGGTTCAACCTAAGTTTAGATAGTTGCTACTTAATTTGGTTATGACGGTAATCAATTCAGATTTGAAGTTTTTCTTACATATCTTCGTTTAAGAATAACTGCTAGAAGTCATTTTAACAATACGTTTTTACATGTTGAGTGTTTAGTGTCTCTTCACTTTGATAAGCCAAACGTTACATTTGTCTCTTGCATGATAGTTTTTGCAAATGTGGATGACAGACGATCCATATTATCTGCTAACTCTCATCGATTCGACGAATTATCATCTGTTATCACGTTCAGAGTAAATGCACGTGTTCTAGTTTGTATAAAGCTGCAAATGGGTGATGTATAATTAAGGCCGTATTTGCTTATTGGTTTTATGTTGAATTTTCATTACTTTTGAACTCTTAGCCTTTAGGTAGTTATTGAACAACATATGAATTAGTTAATAGTCTTTAGTTCAGCACGAAAAAACTTTACGGTTATTTTATTAATCAAGTTTTTAATACTAATAAACACATCTATAAAATAATAATTTACTAAGTATGTTTGGTACTTGTAAGAACTGAGAAAAAATCATGTTCTGCGATAATTGGTAAGTACACATGCAAGTAAACAAGAAACGAACACAGCATGACAATAAGTAATTACCTAGATAACTTATAATAGGTAGTCTTGCAACAGAGGTATGACAAATGATTACCGTTCCATAAGTGTATCCAGTCATTTTGACCTCGCATGCAAGCTACTCTATTTCAATATTAACGAACTCCACACACGGCTATTGTACGTTGACTCTGTCATAAGGTTGGCGTCCCTAACCGCCCTATTTCTAATCCTCCGTCCTTTTCTAAAGCACGACGCCTTTCACGGGGCTGTACACCTCGTCGTAAATGATGGCTACCTTCATAAAAAGCACCACATGATTCGTAGATATTTCTCTATTTTACTACCGTTTTACGTCTTTATGGGGACCGCGGTCCATCAACGGTTTATGCTTCACCAAACAATTAAACGTTACCATCATCAGGTTGCATCATGTAAGGTTCTGCGGCACTTGCTTTACGGATTGGCTGACATTTCGCAAACTGGTTTGTTCAAACGCCACGTTAGTCAACATAATGTAAAGAGCAATATTACAATGATGTAGAGTCATTGAAGTAAACAATATTCAATTAAAACCTCGAGGATAACGGTGTAGTTAAAATGTTTCAAATGTATATTCATAAATCATAGCATTCATGTAAAATATTTTTACTACTTTAGGATTATGTATCCATTCAGAGATTAGACAAATGGTTTTTAAAACAAGAGTAAAGGGACCAGGTACTTTATTGTTAAATAATAAGACAATAGGCAGCATTAAACACTATTCAAAAAACAATTACTTCACTACCTGCGTTATAAGCCGCCCTTTTCGGAAAAACATTGTA